GGGGTATCTGAGATATTTAAAACGTCGCAATAAAGAAATTGTCACAAATCGCTTATTCTCTTATCTGATATATGATAATAAACTAAATGTATCTATAGATCACTTTCAAACATGTATGTTAAAGCTATATTTATGCATCGTATTAAGTGTTTACTTGACAAAGTTGACAGTTGCAACGTTTGATAAACAAGTGAAAGTTAAATGGTCAAGATTTAACGACCTATGGTATCGAACATCAGTGCCAGAGTGAGATATTAATGGTGTTGTGGTTTCTACATAATGAGTTCTAGTAGGCTTTGGGATTTGTTGATTTGTAACAATAAATTTTATGCACATGTCATTTTGACAAATCAGAAAAATGTCCGTTTCAAAAACTGAAAATAAAACAAATAAAATAAAGACTGTTTGTTTTGTATTCCCAGGAAATAATCATATTCTTAATAATAAAAAATATATTATATACTTTTTTAAATAAGAAAATAGATTTAACAATTGCATGTTAATCTTTCGTGAGGTCTTTAAAAAAATATGTTATGCAAAAGAAAAAATACAAATACACAAAACAATTAACTCTAAGAGTTTTACACTGAATAAGCATACAATGGATTCTGTAAACATTGGAAAGTTAGAAAAAGAGTGTATTTGATCTTACGTTCGGGTATTTGTTTAAGCAATTATATATTAATATAAGAATTAAGATTGAAAATACATAATATACTGAGACCAACATTCTTTAAATAAATATATCTCAATTTATGAAATTGTGTTTTAAAATTAAAAATTATTATGAAATATGGTTCCTTCAACCAACATACGTAATAAATCTCAAGACTTTAAACCGTTTTTGCTAACTAAATAAATGTTTGTTGCCTATAATACAGAATTTTATCAGTGTTTCGGGATTTTTTGCTTAAAATTGTTTAAGCATGGATCCCTTTTCAAAAGTCTCCCAACTACTACCTCGCAAGGTATTCTTGTTGGCATGCGTTTATATGCTTTTTTTTACCTCGTGTGACTCAATTTTATATAATGCAATCTTTTGTATCTCGAATGTAAAAGTTAAGCCTCTTCAATAATGGTTTTATAATTAGATCAAGAAATCTCTCAATGCGTCTCGTGGGAGAGTTACACTTATTGATAATTGGTCGGTAAGGAACATTTAATGTCTCCTACTATCTGACCAGTTCGCAATGCCTCATTAATTATGTCTAGATTTATTTTATGAATTTTTGAAAGAAGGTACATTTGTCCATGTTTTGAATCATTATCATTCTTTAAGAAGGTATACGTCTTGGAATCCATTTCTTTTTATGCCCCCTACGTAGCGGTGGGGGGCATTACGTTTTACCCTTAACTGAGTTGGTTTCCGTTCTCTAACTTAAGTTTGCCTCAAACAAATGTTATGAAACTCATACACAATACTTATTACCACAAAATACAGATCAAGTTTGAAATTGGTGGCGTCACTTTAACCGTTCTAGAGTTATGCCCCTTTTCAAATGAAAATTGCTGAATTTTTCATTTCCGTTCTCTAACTTTAGTTTTCCTCAACCAAATGGTATGAGACTTATACACAATGCTTATTACCACAAAACACAGATCAAGTTAGAATTTTGGTTGTGTAACGTTTACTGTTCTAGAGTTATGCCCCTTTACAGACATAAAAGTTTCCGTCATACCCAAGAATGAAGGACACTAATGGCCGATTACCCTTATCAGCGACACCCGGGGTGCAATGTTTTTAATGATGTTCGATTAACATAGAAAGTAATGGGAAAATAAATGGGTACCCTTCATTAATTCTTCATATTATTTTTATTAATCATCTGAATTCTTATTAACACATACGACCGAATTCTACATAGATTTACCTTTCTGGTGGTATTAAAAAATCCAGTTTATCTTATCTCATTGTTAGGTCTCCGATTTTTTGAAATTTCATTATCTAAATTCCCTTACTCACATCAGTAAATATCGATGAATTACCTCAAAAGAAACGAGGCAGCAGTAACTAAAAAAATTGTAACACACTTAATATGCGGAGGAAATACTATTAACACATACTGTTGAATACTCCTGTCAATAAGCTATATTTTGATGTCAGAAAAGTCAGTTTAAATTAAGAAATTCTTAGGTCTCCGGCGTTTTGAAAAGTTGTCTTTGAAAAAAAATAACCAACACAAATGTAATATACGAAAACAACGTACATTAGCGAGATCATACTGTTATACAAGTAAAAATAAATTCCGGTTATTCTTAAATAAATGAAATAATACATAATAAGTTCAAATTCAAAGTGTTCACTGCGGCTATTTTTTATTGTTCAAATAGAAACGATAAATATTGAATACAAAATAAAATTATATTTAATTATATTAAATTGTATTCGTCGGGATAACTCATCTGTTCAAAGGACATAATGGAGTTTTACTGTATGGGTTCTTGTTCATGATAGTTCATAGTTCGTATAATTTCATATAATAGAGACTATAAAGATATTTTTTATTCATATTTGGTGAAACGTATTTAATGATAAATGATAAAGTATACATTTACATTTAAATAATAATAAACGATTCGCTGTTCAATTTTTTTTTCACCCGTAAAACATTTTTCCATTATTTGTATTTCGATAATATTTAAAGAAAATGAAAAGGTGGTATATTAAAAAAGTTCGAAATTGATATATTGTATATATATCTTAATATATTTCAAATAATAATAACTAGTCTATCTCACACACTCACACAATTATTCATTAATCCCTGTAGACTGAGATTGAAGATTCTTACAACATTCAATCAAAGTAGATATTTTTAAAAAATATATGAAAACAAAGGTTATTTCTAGCATAACATCGTTTGCGCTACTACATCTGTTGTTCAACGTTTAAACATTCAACAAAATCCCGGCCACCAATTTTTGGCCCCTCTAACAAATCACGGCCAACCAATTTTTTGCCACTATTAAAATTGAGAATGGAAATGGGGAATGTGTCAATGAGACAACAACCCGACCATAGAACAGACAACACTTTCTACCTCTTCTATCATTTGATTTCACCAAATATTCCGAATACAATTAGACACTCAAATAGCAAAAAAAATAACTTTTACAAATAATCTCATTAGCACAATTTAAGTAGATTAGTTATCATTTCAACAAGAACAAATATACCGTAGTACTTCTAAATGCAGTCACGTGTAGCCCTCTATTGAAGCATGCAAAAGAACCAATTCAATATAAGATCAAATGAATCAAATGTCACTAACAATTCCATGTAAATCAGTGTTCTCATTAACTCATATAACAAAATGTCAAACTGCAATATTGTCACAAAAATGTTCTTTCATCTACATCTGTGGTTTGGTATTTAGATATATCGATAGTGGCGAGACCATCACGTTACAAGTGGCGAATCAATATTCACACACTCAATTTCAGACTGTCTTGTGGCGAGGAAATTTTCACACACAAGCCAGTATAATTTCTTCAAATAATTGTTGACTAGCTGTGGCGAGGCAATTCTCACACACAGATCAGCATGAAACGTCTGAAACAATGTTGGTTGGTTGTGGCAAAACAATTTTCACACACTAAAATAAACTTTACATTATCATCGGAGCACTTTATTGTGAAAGTATATACACTTTATGGAGTCACATCTAAGGGGTTATCCGTTTTTATCACATGCAGAGATGATTTTGGAACTAATAGATATAATGCAAAATCCGAGAGCTTTTCGTAAACTGGCCTACCTCTAATATGAAAATGAAAATCCATCGTTAAATGTAAAGTACAGAAATAATAAAGATACATGTCCATAATACTATTGGAAATTCCGTTGCTGTATATAGTTCCTGAAATGTTATGGTTAGCTGATATGATTCACTTGTTTAAATCATTGTTCTAGTCAAAGCACCACCTCGGATATCCAAAGAAATGTTATACGATCAGCACTAAATCCGAGTAAATCAAAAGAAAAACGTTAATATATCCGGGATAAAAACAAGCCATTGTGAACTGATTCCAGCAACTGCTATGAAATTAAAGTCACAATACCAATAAACATAATTTAGGTCCTCCACCATGATAGATCCGTGTTTTTACTCGCTAGTGGCATGTAATATTAAAAACTATACTGATTTCGGTTTTAATTCTATATTTTATCAACTACATATGTACATAGATGCTACTGATCTCTCACTCAACTCCCAGTTTTAGGCTACACGTGCTGTTCTTATCTATAGTCATGCATATTCATCAGCTTTGTAGGCGTGTAAAAGTCGCATGTATATGCGATAATGGCCAGCCACTACACACTGTTATGATTTCATTAACCAGTATTAAAAAGATAAATATAACACTAGTTCATGCGTAACCCATAATTTAGCAAAGGGGTTAAATAGAAGGTCACATGAATACGGATTCAATGAGGTCGAATTATTCGTTGCTTATGTCTCTGAAAAAATCCTATATACCTCAATATAACCTGAGACTACTATAATTATACTGTTATAGTAGTCTCAGATATAACACATTAGGATTTTTTTCAGAGACAAATGCCTGTGTTTAATTTGACAAAATTTAAGCAAACTGGCTGCTAAAAGCGAATTATTATTTCACTTTTTCACTTTCATTAATGATTAAACCAAAAAAATCATACTTTATTTTGTTTACTATCTCGTAGCAGAATCTGCTCGTAGCTTATGCACCTTTAATAGACTTACGAATTGGATAGTTCTTTAAATTAACAAGGTCGTGCGTTTCCCCGACTGTTTATGTCGTCTTTGCACAAAAACCGTGGGATGTGTACTGATCTATTTATTTATTAGTTGCAATTATTTATCATGGTTTTGAAGTAGCTTTCAGTATTTTTTGTCTCCCACCTCCCGCCCCACCTCCCACCTCCCTCAAAAGCTGTCCACCCCTCAGTAATTGTGTATCTTTGGCATGGTTGGGTCGAGACATAATTAAGGGGCGATTCTATCTTTTTTCAGAAAAAAAATCCAACGGGATTTACCGAAGCCTTCCGATTCTTTCTTTATACGCACTTGCAGAAGGAGAAGAAGCTCCATTTAGCAGTACAGTCAAGGAGACCTTTTATTCACAATGGCAGACCGAAGAGATGACCCAGGGTAAGAACAGCCAAATATTATCAAGCATTTTATTTTATAACGTACGTTGATACCAACTCCTTCGAATTCAGCATAGAAAGAACAGGAAATTATAAGATAAACCATGAAACCACGTGCTCATTTCATGCCTATATCTATAATTGATATTTTGTGGGTGAAAGATAGTTTAAATCAAATAATTATAGTTTTTTTTTTACAGGAACTTTATATTTTTATCTTATCTTTATTTAGAAGGGTCATTTACCACTGTTGACAAGCGGATGATGGTAACTGAAGTTACCACGATCCCAAAATGGCGGAGGGGAATCCCCGTAAGATCTTTCCCTCTTAATTTCTTTGTTTTTAAATAAATGTGGCTAACATTACTCAGCCGTCGTTTGGTTATTAACATTTGGGATCGTGGTAACTTCAGTTACCATCATCCGCTTGTCAACAGTGATTTACGAATTTTAGCTAAAAAGATGTCCATTTAAATCTCCCCACGCCTTTTTAAAGGGGGAAGCTTCGATGTTCCATTCCTCAAATGTATCCTAGTCATACAGTTAATTTCATGCAATTTAAATATCAAAATTTTGAAATTGTCTTTTCTTTTCAGCAAATTTTTTGTTGGAAACCTTAGCTGGGAGACAGATAATGGTAAGATAAAATAACCTTACTATAATATTGGGGAAATATATATAGCTACAATGTACATATCTTTAAATTGTTTGTACAACAGCCTGAACAGGGAGATATATTGCAGCATATCATTTTCATGTGAAAACTTAAGCCACATGCCAGCTCTCTTTACTTTTGGAATATTCAGCTATTCCTCTGTGGAAATGTTACAGGTCTGTGGCTAAGTGTGAAGACTAAGCATGCAGTTCTTAATAGGTTCTAAAATTAAATCAGACAATGGTGTCAAGGAAACTGAATATTAAAACAAATAGGTACGTCATATCAGAAAAATATCTAACGAAATGAACTGTATACATTGACACATTGACAAGCTATGCACTTGTGATAATATAAATACATTGTATTTAGGAAATAAGTGTGACCTGAACCTGGGTTGCAATTCTGGCTCTGGTCTGCACAATGTCCAAAAATATCAAAAAGTATTAAGAGCTACAGTTCAGCAGCTATTTTGTAGCTTGCCTTTATCTATCTGACACGGGGGAGATTTACTTTTAGTAGAGTAGCAAGTATCGAGTTGTAAAAAGTGAGTATCGAGTTGTCAAAAGTGAGTATCGAGTAGCAAAAAGTGAGTATCGAGTAACAAAAAGTGAATTTCGAGTAGCAAAAAGTGAGTATCAAGTAGCAAAACGTAAGTATCGAGTTATAAAAAGTGAGTATCGAGTAGCAAAAAGTGAGTATTGAGTTGTTAAAAGTGAGTATCGAGTAGCAAAAAAATGAGTATCAAGTAGCAAAACGGGAGTATCGAGTTATAAAAAGTGAATATCGAGTAGCAAAAAGTGAGTATGAGTAACAAAAAGTGAGTATCGAGTAGTAAAAAGTGAGTATCGAGTATTAATTAATAACCAACAAAAACATTATTTGTAAATAGAATTGTTTTAACAAAATAATAATCAATTTATTAATGGAATCATACTGTACAATTTACAACAAAGAGAGGGGTGCAGGTTTGATACTGTCGCATTGCTTGCTTCACGCCAACTGTAATTTTCTCGTCCTCTGAAGGAATATAAAGTAAGACCTTTGATTTCATTGCATTTCTGTGATGTAGTTGATTTAAAGAAGACGTAGAAGTATGTAGATAAGGAATTAAACTGAGTTGATATATAACACATTTAATTTAATATGGTCAGGAGCCTCTGGCCTTTGTTATTCTTGTATGTCTTAGTTCATTTATATGTTTTGGAGTTTAGTGTGACGTCCATTTTCACTGAACAAGTGCACATTTTGTTAAGGGGCCAGCTGAAGTCCGCCTCCGGGTGCAGGATTTTCTCGTTGTGTTGAAGACCCATTGGTGGCCTTCGGCTGTTTTCTGTCCTCTGGTTGGGTTGTTGTCTCTTTGACACATTCCCCATTTCCATTCTCAATTTTAGGAAATGTTGCATTGACTTAAGCAACGAAAAAATCTCAAAACCTTGATCGTTTTGCAAATACCCAAAACAGCATACTTTCAAGTGAACAACAATTAAAAAAAAGTGAAAAGTAGAATAACAAAAATACCGAACTCCAAAGAAAATTCAAAACAGAAAATATATTCTTAAATGTATAGACGACACGTAATAAGTGTCCTTAAACTGTAAGAGGAAATATTTTCACTGTTTAGCTCACCCTAGCCAAAGGCTGCTGTGAGCTATTGCCAACACTTGGCTTCTGTTGTCCTCATTTGTAGTCCGTTGTTTGTTAATTTTTCATATTTTGATCTTCTTCTAGAGAACCATTAAACAGATTTATTTTTCGAATATGTTTCTCTAATTGTCCTTTCTAAGTGTTGATACTTTGTTGTTGATTGGTCAACAAACATGGCCGCCATGGTTGATTGTTAAGTACCAGGCTTTGTAAGAACAAGGCAATTTCACAACATGACTGAAAAAAAAACCCGCCAACCTAACCATCCTATTTTGAAGTTACTCTCATCCTGAGTTAGAAATGGTTGGTCTTTCTGCGTGTCTGTTAATAACTTTTGGTTAGAATGATAGCAAATTTCGGAGTTAGTTCCCCTTAATTATTAATTTCCAGTGCATTTTAACTTGATTATATCTATTTATACTAGAACAGGAAAATGAACTGAATGATATATTTGTGCATCATTATACATTCTAAAGGACAAGGTACGATAAGCATCAGAAAACGGCCCCCAATTTTCGTTCAAATTAAAAATGACATGCCATAAATTATAATACTACATTTATAAAGTTTAAAACCTATATTTTTGTAAACATCAATAGATTTGTCAACTTCGGCTGATATTATTCATGCTTTGTTGCTGTAAACACCTCAAGATTCGCGAAAAGGGCAGAAAAATGGCAGTTTCCAAACCTTTCTCTGCATTTATAACTAAGAGCGTACCTACGGCCCACGATCATATTTGTACCTGACATTCCTTGAATATAAATGTTGATGCAGTTCAAGTATCTTAGTGGGCCGTAGGTACGCTCATAGTCAAAAATTAAAAAAAAAGGTGAAAAAATCGTAGTTTTCATCGAATCATCGAAATATTTAAACGAACTGCGGACCGGAGATGATTTCCGGTATTCATTAGATCCGACGACAGACTTTTCATCGTGCTAGTTTCTTACGACCATGTGATGTAAATTTTACATATATGAAAAAGTAACACAGGATATTCCTGTATTTATTATTGTATGAATTTAAAATGAGATTTTAGCAGACCGTCAAGTTTTGACACAAAATCAGAAGGACTTGTGACAAACTTCAGAAACATTTTGGGAATGTAAATGAAACCAAAGTTATTTAATAACTGGTTCATACTCAAACAGTTCCTTTTTAACTAAATTTTAATATTTAGAACACTATGACACAAACGTTAATCATGGATTGGCATGTTGAAGCAAAAATATGTCTTTTGTAGCGTAAAAACTGCAAAGTGCCAAAGATTTGTTAAGCATGTAATCTCCGTGGAAATTCTAAACAGAAACATATTTTGAATATAAATTCTATACTCAACAGATCGATATTGGTGTCAACATTAAATTTTAGTACAACTTTACCCTTCAGAAACACGTATTTTGTTTGATAAATGACAAAATCGTCGCCCTGTTCAGAATTATTAATCTCCGTTGCCGCTTTTGTGAAAAGTGCTTTCTTTCACGTCCGCATTTCTATCAAGTATGGCATGCCAAGTTAACATTTTAGGCAATCATTACAGATGACGAAAATAAATTTCAAAACTGTGAATAAAAACATCCATTGTAATTCATACGACATAAGTAGACACCATGGGACAATTTTAATTATTTAATTGTGTAAGTGTAAACAGTAATAAAGATCAAACAAAACTATCCAACAAAAGTGTGTATCTTGAGTGATATTTTGGTCATGGTGTTGTTTGTATTTATTGGACTTATGATTTGTAATTGTTCCCCGCCTTCTCGTCGCTCTTTTTCAACGACAACGCATGCCACTTCGTATTTCTTGTCTGAAAATTATTCTCTACATTACTTTCCGTCATAAATATGCATGAAGTATTTGCCACTGGACGGTCAGAAAACAACATTCAATCAATCATATCTCCTCTTAAATTGCAGTACTATAATGACTTTAAACATATTTAAACAAATAAAAGATTCGTTTAATTTTTATACGGCCGCAAACAAATTTTGTGGTCGTATATTGGTATGATGTTGGCGTCGTCGTCGTCCGAGACACATTGGTTTTCGCACTCTAACTTTAGTTTAAGTGAATGGATCTTTTTGAAATTTGACCATAAGGTTAAATACCACAAAAGGAAGGTTGGGATTGATTTTGGGGGTTATGGTACCAACAGTTAGGGGCCAAAAAGGGGCCAAAAATAAGCATTTTCTAGTTTCCAGACAATAACTGTGGAACGGTGTATGGATCTCTCTGAAATTATACTACAAGTTTCCATACCACAAAGGGATGGTTAGGATTTGCTTTGGGGGGTTATGGCTCAAACCGTTTAGGAATTAGGGGCAAAAAAGGGGGAAAAACAAGGTTGTCCTGGTTAATGGACAAATACTTTAGTACAAAACATAATTTAAAGCAGTGTAAGGGAGATAAATCAAATACATCATTGAAATTATCTCCCTTACACTGCTTTTAAATTATGTATAAAGTAATGGTTAATGAACAATAAAGATAATTTAAAACAGTGTAAGGGAGGTAATCCAAATACAACGTTTTGGTTACTTCCCTTACACTGCTTTTAAATTATGTTTAAAGAAATACATATTTATAAAGGAAGACCAGTAAAAATATCTGCAAATGTTGCATCTTTTTTTTTTTACAAAAAAATCCATATGAAAGATTTGACAGTATATTTTTAATTCTATTATAAAATAGATTAAGTTAGCACTATGGTAAATTTAAATGGGTCATTATGGTTGCCAACTCCATTGGAAATTTGAATTGAGATTATGACCATATCTTGAGGGAAAGAATTTTTTTGGGGAAAAAAGGGGGGGGGGGGATAAAAAGAAATTGTGGGGGGTCAATTTTTTCTCATTTCAGATTTCAGAAATTAAAAAGAAATATTCTTCAAATATTATTTTTTTTTCATATTTCAAATATTGAAAAATTTCAAGAAGTAATCTTTAATTGGACAGTATGGCGCATTAGATTTGTAAAATCTTTGATCACATTTATTTAATTGTTATGCCGAATCTGACAGTGTATTTAAAAAATTTAAATTTTTAATTTTGGGTCCAGTTTTCAAATTGGTCTACATTAAGGTCCAAAGGGTCCAAAATTAAACTTTGTTTGATTTTAGCAAAAATTGAATATATGAGGTTCTTTGATATGCTGAATCTAAACATGTGTTTAGATTTTTGATTATGGGCCCAGTTTTCAAGTTGGTCCAAATTGGGGTCCAAAATTAAACTTTGTTTGATTTCAACAAAAATTGAATATATGAGGTTGTTTGATATGCTGAATCTAACCATGTATTTAAATTTTTTATTTGTGGGCCCCGCTATCAAATTGGT